TCCATTGCCTCCAGGAGCAAATATAAATTGCTTTATTTGGCATTCAAAGCCCTTCAAAATCTAGCTCCCTCCTACCTTTCCAGTCTTCCTACACCTCTCTCTTCAATCCAGTGACACCAGCCTCCTGGTTGCTCCATGAACAAGACCCTCCATCTCGAGGCTCCTGGCATTTTCTCCGGCTGTCCCCAGGCCTAGAACACGCTCCTTCTTCAACTCCACCCGCCTTGCTTGGCTTTCTAACTAAAATGCCATCTTTTACTGGAAGCCTTCCCTAACCCCTCTTAATTCTAGTGCCTTCCCTCTGTTTATTATTTCCTTTTTATCCTGTATATAGCTTGCTTTGTCTATATTTCTCCCTCCACCATTAGGTTTTAAGTTCCTTGAGGGCAGGTACTGTCTTTTGCCTCTTTTTGTAACCCTAATGCTTAGCACAGTGCCAGACACATAATAAGTACTTAATGAATGTTTACTGATTGATTGATCAGATACTGGGGCCCTAGAAGATGTTCTTAGTCTCTAGGAGACATCACAGCAAGTGCAAGCTTCCTACCAGACTGGACTCTCTCTCCTTCTTTGAGGCTTTTCGCAGATAGCTCAGCCCCCTTCTAAGTGGGCCCCTTCTCTCACTCCTCATTTTTGGGAGAGATTGGGAAAGACAATTCTCAGATATTTATGAAACACCTACTGTGACCCAGAGGCCTGGTGTTTGTCACTGTGGGCACAAGGAAAAAAATAGCCTCTGATCTCAAAGAGTTCAAATCCTACTGAAAAGATAACAATACATAAGACAGAGAAGTACGTACATAATTTGAGGAGGAACGGTGGCTCCCTTCACAGTAGGTGAACCAAGAGTCGAGCCTTGAAAGAAGATAGGAGCGTGAAGAGGTCGAGATGGGGAGGAAGTGTATTCCATGCACAGGACACGCCCGCCCTGTGCGGAGGCACCGGCAGGGTGGTGGGATACAGGGCTGAAGGACAGACAGCAAGCTGGCTAGTGCTGACAAATAAAGGGGAGCAACGTGAAAAAGGCCAGGGAATATCAGGTGAGAAACACAACATGAAGGGCTTTAATGCCAGGTTGAGGAGTAAGCCTAGAAGTAACAGGGAGCCACTGACAATTATATTTGAAAATAAAATTAGTCACGAGATCCCAAAGCAAATGTTTAAACTCTGAATCCAGTCCCTCTGCTCTTCCCCCTACAGCGTTTAGTTTGGCAGATTTTCTTTCAATGTCAAAGTTGTACCAAAATTACCTTGGGGAATTCCAATAGTAGGATATTCTTTTTTAGTGCTTTAAAGATGGCTTCATGATGGGGAAGATTCTTTTCCCAGTCCCAAGTTTAGTTTATGCTTGCTCCCTTCTAACACAATCTCTCTCTGCCTGTCTGTCTGTCTGTCTCTCATACACACACTCATTCTCTCCCTCTCATATTTCTACATTGTCCTAACTGGCTCCTAGGATCACAGCATTTGGAGCTGGAAGGGACCTGAGAAACCGCCTCATCCAACTCCCTTGGTTTCAGAAGGGAGCCAGGGGCAATTGTTCCAGGGACAGATGGCAGCAGAAGCCCACACCACCAGGAGGCGCTCTTCCTACGTAAGGACTTAGGGGTAGTACCAGGCATCCCCTACCACATTCAGACAGAGCCACTGTCCCAGGATTTAATTGCAGCTCCAAGGACAGACATTTGCTCCTTTCAGCCCCACTATGCCTCCCTCTGCCCCTTCAAATTCTTCTCCATGTATGCCCACATTTCTCTTCCCGCTGCCAAAAGAGAAATGGAGAATAAAGAGGGAGGGGATGGGGACAGGAGACACATACAGGGAGGACAGAGAAGTCACCAGGGTACAGAACTTCTCTGTGTCCCTAGTGGATTAACATGTTGAAAACAGGGCATTGTACATGAAACGTAAGAAAAAAATCCTACCAGACATCCTCATTTAAAATAGGTAAGAAATGAGACAGTAAGACCATCATCATTGCAACTAAACATTTATTCAACTAAACATGACTTGTACTAAGTACATATAAACTATTCAGGGTTTAGCCAGTGGGGCACAACGAGGGGGCCGCACCCTCCTCTTCCCCACCCCCTTTTTCCCTTACTGGTGTTGGGCAGGACCTGTGTCACTGTCACCTGGAAAGCAGCAAGTCTAGGACAGCCCAGACCATGTTCTGCTCTCCTTAGCCTCCCATGAAGCATACCCAGAAAGCATACCCATTGACCACCCCTGGAAACTTTTCTCCAAGGCATGGTCTCTGCAGTAGATGCTCACCAAATTTCTGGGAGGATGAATAAAAAAGCACTAGCATCCCGGAGATCCACATCAGAAGGCCCAGGAAATAGCGACACCACAGCAGGACAGGGCCCAAGGCTTCTCCAAATAAGGACCTTCAGGGCCCTGGGGCTACTCAAATTTAGGCCATGGGGTCAGAAGAGAAACTCACTTAAAGGCACGAATGCCTCTGATGCCTCTCAGGATGACCGTGCCCTCTCACCCTACTCAAGTCTCAGCCTATCCCTAAAGGGGAAAACAACAACAACAATTACTAAAGCTGACATCATGGAGGGTTTTACAACTCACAGAGCAGTTTATGTCTATTAGCCCACTTTATTACCAAAGCTAAACTATGACCTACCTCGTCGAGTGCCACCCAACTATGAAGTGGCAAAGCAGAGACGTGGAGCTAGGTTTTCTGGCACCAAGCCCAGGGCCAGCTGGACCATGCCCCAGTGCCTCTGCATCAGGACTGGGAGGGGAGGAAACCCAACCTCGGTAACTTCAGAGTTCAGGGCTTTAGTACAGGAAAGGAACTCAGAAGCCATCTGATCTAGCTGCTCCTTTCATAGGTGGGGAATCTGAAGCGAGGGAAAAGAGTGATGCCTGAGGTCCTGTGACGCCAAACCCAGCTCTCTTCCGCTCTGCTAGACTGCCCTTCCTGTGCAAGAGTATCTGAAGAGAAAACAAACAACAACAAAAACCGCTATTTGTACTAAGTGTAAGACCCTGCGTAAACTCTGTGGGGTTCAGCCAGTGGGGCATAACCCTCTTTCCCACTTATTCCTTACTGATCTGAGTTAGGCAGGTGTTGCCTTTACCGTGCAACAATATTTGACGGGAAAAAAGGCATAGCTCCTTTTAAACAAGCAGAGCAAGCTCAGAAGATAAGTCAACAGCTTCTCTCGATTATATAACAAGCCAATGGAAGTCAGAACAAATCCTCCAATAAGGGCCTTTAGGCGCAAATTTGCTGCTAAGCACAACAGCTAACCACTACAGTAGCAAAGTCTGCAGCTATGCACAGAACACAGAGAGTTTCTGTCTCAGAGAAAACATAGAGAGCTTCCTATATAGAACTCTAGTTAAATAACGAGTGATTAACCAGAATCTCAGCTGACAAATGGAGCTGCTGATTACAGCATGACTGGGAGCCTGTCGAAGGCTCTCTGAGGATGGGGCCAGTCTAGACATAGGTGGGTACAGCCCAGGTGAACAGGTCTTAGATGGAAGGCAGCAACTACAACTGGTCCAGGGCACACGCGCCCAAGTGAACAGAGGAAGAATCACATTCTCAGAGTCGTAATGGCCCTCACAGGACATATCGAGTCCAACCTATAAACTCCGAAGGGGATCCCCTCTACAGTATCTCCAACAAGCAGCCATCCAGCCTCTTCTGGAGCATCTCTAGTGAAGAGGAATCCACTCTCACCCCAGGCAGCCCATTCCACAGCTCTATTGTTTGGAAGCTCCTCCTTACATGGAGCCTGAAGCTGTCTCTGTAACTTACCCTCACTGCTCATCATTCTGCTTTCTGTCTCCAACAAGCAATGCTAAATTTCAGTTATGGAATCAAGGCCAGAACAGTTGGCCAAGGAGACAAGAGAATGGGGCCAAAAAGCATCTGTGCATCATAGCTGGCATTGGCTGAACACATGCCTCAATGCCTACCTGCCCAGTGCTGGCTCTGCCAGTCTCATCTTGGGCAATGGTGAAATCTTAAAAGGGTCAAATCCACCAGGATTGCTTGGGTTGTCTAGTCTTTAGTGAACACAGCTCTGATGAGACTTACATCTTCTGGAAGAAGTACCCAAAAATGAAATGTGGAAGCAGATGGAGCAAAGAAAATAAGAAATGGGATCTCTCAGCGAAGGACTGAAGGATGACAGAGAGTTGAGGGACCTTAGAGGTAACTGCAGTTCAAACCCCTCACTTTACAAGTGAGGAGTTAAGTGACTTACCTAAGGTCACACCGACAGCAACCGAGCCTGAGACTTAAACCCTTGTCCTCAAACTCTATCCAGCGGCTCTTTTCACTGCTCCATCTTACTTACCAAGGATTCCTGCTTCAGGAAGGAGTTCCTGCTTTGGGTACAAGTTAGACTAGATGACACCTAAGGTCTCCCTGGGATTCTAGGAGAACATATCTCCTGAAGCCCACACAAGATACCAGAATCAATGCCACTAAAGAAATCCTGGAACCTCTTACTGCTTCGGTTGATTCAGCCCTGATAGATCTCCTTGAATTGAGCAAAAGATGATGGAAAAAATTCCTTTCCAATACACAGTCCATTCCGGAGATGCTCCCCCATTCCCTGACACCTGGACTGGGGCCAAAAGGGCCAGCGCTAGAGTTGCTCTAACCAATTAAAAGCATCCTCTTAAAGACTTAAAGAAAAAGTTTGAGTTGAACAGTTGGATTTCTACTGATTACATTCCTACTGGCTCCTTATAAAAGGGTTCTGAAGGGATTTAAATAACTAGAATCTTCTGACTATCATCAATGAATCAATAAGTCTTTGGAGGATGCCAAAACAAGCATGGCCCTAAACTTAGGGCTATGAGGAAAGTAAGGCACCAAAAGTCTGTCTTCTAGCAGTTTACCTTCTCTGAAGCAGGGTCTTATCTACCTTCATTTGGTAGAAACAAAAATCTCCTTTGGCCATTGCTGCAAGTTTTCCAGGTTGGAATCTCAAAGCCATCCTTCTTCTACAGTTGGCTTTTTTTTTTTTTTTTTTTTTTGCTTATACAACCTTTGCAAAACTGGCTTTAGGAAGGTTTAGAGAGAATCACAACATTAGGGAATCTCAGAGTTAGGACACTTTCTATATACTGCTCCTAATTCTGCTATCTGGGACCAAGCAGAACAAGCTGAATCTCCCTTGCTGGTGCAAATACTTGACAACACATCCTTTTAACTAAGCTAAACATCGTTCATTTCCTTCAGTAGTTCTTCTTGTGGCACATTCTCTGTTACCTTCAACAGCCACATCACCTTCTTCTGCATGTGCTCCATTTTGCCAAAGTTGTTCTTAAAACCGACACCCCAACTTGAACACATAACTTGAGATGGGTTCTGCCCATGCAGAAATGAGGTCTATAACCTCGCTCATTTTGGACACTGTACCTCTCAATGTAACTTAAGATCACAAATTAACCTAAAATATAGAGGGAAGAACATCAAGAAGCAAAAAAGTTTAAGATATAAGGGTGAATTTGGAATCAGTTGGGAATGATGTCTAAATTATCCCAACAGGTAGTTCAGCGATATCAGAGGTAACAGAATGGGAGACAGGGACAGCTTAAAACCTACAGAAACAAAAGGCTTGCTGGGGTTCTGAAATCAGTTTATATAGAGAGTTGAGTTTCAAAGAAAACAGGTAGAGGTTTGTTTTTACAGGGTGAGGCAATTTGTTGTTACCAAAATCATCCCCAGGGTATGATAAAGAGGTGGGAATAAAACCATGGGAAATAGCTGTCAACTATAATCCCACTGATTGCTTCAAGTTATAAGTGAGGGAGTCACCATTTAACTACCCATCAACTCACACCTGAGTTTTTAGCCAATACCTGAGCAGGGTTGATTTTGACAGGGATGAATAACTGGCCCCTTGAGCAGGGGAGAGCTAAACAGGTTGTCATCAGAAAGGTGCTTTGTAAACGGGAAAATACTTCTAGCATGATGGTGTCATGATGCGGGAGGAGGACCTAATTACAAACTTGAAAATGGGGACAAACATAAAACTAAAACAAATGAAACACTATGGGAAAGAGACCATGGCTAAGGGAGAAAGGCAAGGATTGTGCCCCTCCTGGCTTCATGGCAATTACTTTTTCATCTAGCCTGGTGATGCTGAGAATTCCCTGCTCAGTGGAGACAGGGTATGGTGAAAAGAACATTGGATTTGAAGTCATACGGTCTGTATTTGAATCCTGACTCTGTTACTTATTACCTACATGACTCTGAGTGGGTCATTTCCTTCTTCTGGATCTGTTTTATCACCGATAAGATGAGCTAGTTGGGACTAGATGTTCTTGAAGGTCCTTCCATTATGATGCTGCCAAAAATGTTCCCTTAGTTACTAATACCTGATTCAAGATTAAGCAGAAGAGGCCCCTGAAGAAAGAAGACAAGAGCAGACAAACACAGGAAAAGGAAGGGAGGGCCTCAGGGAAACTACACCTATTTCCAAATTCTACCCTGCTTTCAGCTCATCTCCTCTGAACCTATTTCAATTCCAAAAAAGCAAAACGCTTGCTTTGGAAAGGCTGCGCTCAGACATGGTTGAAATCTGTGAGCCCCTTGGCCCACAGCTTGGAGGCAATATCACCCAGTAAGTCATAGTTCAACCTCCAAGAAACAGGCTGGAAGGTAAATCTTGGGAATGGAGTGTAAATTGACTTTCCATATTAAGATGCACTGGGGAAAGGGAAGGCTGATGGGAGGAAGCAGAAAAGCAGTAATTCTAGAATGTAAGACATTGTAGAAAAAGATAGGGATGAGTAGAGGATACAGTGAAGGACTTTGGGTAGTCAGAAGGCAACACAGGGCACTGGAATCCCTGGGGTGCAGAGAAGAGAATGCCAAGAAACCAAAGAAGGTATCTATCACAACTTCCACCACTGTCCTGGGAGGAAAAAGAAACAAGTTTCTTTAGCTCCAAAACAGCTTTCTATCTTCCTTACTCCTAAACTAGGGGGTCCTGCCTCATCCCCTCCATCTTCTAGATCTAGTGCCAGGCCCCAATTGAAAAAATTCTATCCACTCTTCACTAGCCTACCTAACACCAGGAACTTGTTTCAGGGTGGAATATACAAGAATCTGAAGATATTTCACAGGGATGTGCCCACAACTAGTTTGTGCACACCAAAAGTAACAGGGGTACTTTTAAAATATGCATTTACCTTAGCAGGACTTTCTTTTATCCCTTTACTCACATATATTGCCCAGTTGTTCTAATACTAGAGCTGGAAACTTAATAAAGATTCCTTCTTCTGTTAGTTATTTTTAGAAGACTCGGTACTTCTACTACTACAGATCTCATAACAATGCTCCTTCCTGTTCAACTTATGCAAATCCGTGGCTTGAAAGCAGGTAGTGTACTACAGGGAAGAGGGAAATCTCTCTCTAACTCCCAAGGGGCAGATTGTGATCATTTGACTCTGGGGTATTTAATATGTGACAAGCGTGACTGAAGCTTTCCCCTTGTATGATTCCACTCTGTTATTCTCCACTATGAATTCTCTGATGCCTGAGAACAGCTGAACTACTCCTGAAGGCTTTCTTACACAGATCACATTTGTGGGGCTTCTCTCCAGTATGTATTCTCTGATGTTCAATAAGGCGAGTATTCTGATTGAAGGATATTCCACATTCATTACACTTATAAGGTTTCTTTCCAGTATGGATCTTCTGATGGTCAGTCAGGGATGAATTCCGACCAAAGGCTTTCCCACATTCATTACACTTGAAAGGTTTCTCCCCACTATGGGTTTTCTGATGCCTCGTAAGGGACGAGTTACGGCTGAAGGCCTTCCCACAGTCCTTACATTTAAAAGGTGTTTCCCCACTATGGAATCTCAGATGTATGATAAGGGATGAGTTCTGACTGAAGGCCTTCTCACATTGATTACATTTATAAGGTTTCTCTCCAGTATGAATTCGAAGATGCTGAGTAAGGGATGAGCTATTACTGAAAGCTTTCTCACAATGACTACATTTATAGGGTTTCTCTCCAGTATGAACTCTCTGATGTTCATTGAGATGTGTTCTTTGAGTGAAGGCCTTCTCACATTTATTACACTTATAGGGTTTCTCTCCAGTATGAATTCTTTTATGTTCAGTTAGGCGTGTGCTCTGGTTGAAGGCCTTTCCACATATATTACACTTGAAGGTTCTTTCTCCAGTATGAATTCTCTGATGTTGAATAAGGGATGATTTGTGACTGAAGTCTTTCTTACACACATCACATTTAAAGGGTTTCTCTCCAGTATGAGTCCTTTGATGTTCAGTAAGTAGTCCCCTCTGGGTAAAGGCTTTCTTACATTCATTACACTTGTAGGGTTTCCTTCCAGTATGAATTATTTGATGCTTAAAAAGGGATGAGTCCCGGATGAAAGCTTTCTTACACTGATTACACTTAAAAGGTTTCTCTCCAGTATGAACCCTCTTATGTAGATTGAAAAATGAGCGCCGCCTAAAGCTCTTCTTACATTCATAACATTTGTAGGGTTTCTCCCCAGTATGGATTCTCAGATGTCGAGTAAGAGATGAATTGTAGATGAAAGTTTTCCCACATGCCTTACACTTGTAGCCTTTTTTTCCAGGAGGTATCCTACGAGACTTAAAAAGGTTTGAGTAGTAACTTCGGGTCTTCGGCCTTACCTTAAAATTAGGTTTCTTCTCTGGGGTCGTCATTTTACTTCTAACCAGGTCTAAATACTGTTTGAGGCTCATTTTATGTTTAGTATATTTATGGAGATTTGTTCCTGTAGGAACTTTCTTTTTTGTAACAATGCCTGACCCTAGCCTGAAGTATTTCCTAAATATATTACATCTAGGCCGTCTCACCTTAGATGTTTTCTCCTGTTCTATTGTTCCTTGACTAGATTGTCCTTCTTGGTTGTCTTGCTGCTTTTCCTCACCTTTCCAGGCTCCTCCCAAGGTAGAGGCAGAGGGACCGTCTCTCGAGAGCCTTTCCTGAGACAGGTCTTTCAAAAAAATGCCCTGTTTTGGAGCTGATTCTTTGGTAACAAACCTGGTCTCTGAACCTGAAAGAAATAAAACATGTAAATGTCCCTCATATTTTGTTGAAGAAAAAGGAAACAATAATTCCTCATTATTTAGTATAAATACATTTCTGAGGGTCATGAGAACAATAAATCAATGAACAGAAGCTAACTAACTTTATGGCTAAATTCTAGGCACTCTGACTTTTTCAGGCTCAGGGTTATTCTTTATTCTGCTTTTAAGAGAGCTGCAGTGTACATTTCCTAGTGTGTTGGGGACAAGGACAAGAGTGAAGTCTGGCTAATATTAAGAGCAGAAGCAGCACCCTTGCTACTTTGGGAGAAAAGGCTGGAGGGCAAAGCAGTACTCCTACGCAGACCTCTTCCCCTGAGTCTTTCTCCCCTTCCCCAGCACCTTCAATGACTCTGTCTGCCCTCAAGTTTCTGAGCCATTCTCTGTTAGTCTCTGGAAGGTCCCAATATCGGAAAGCTATGTTAAGTAACCCAGCAGTAAAGACACTGTGGCAGACAAAACACATTTAAAGAAAGTCAGACTAAGAATAATGACAATTTACATTTATATAGCAATCTAGAATTGAAAACCCTTTGTATAAATGATTACAACTGATCTCACAACTCTGAAGAAGGTAGCACAAATATTATATCCCCTGAGTTTGAGTCCTGGTTCTACTACCTACTGCCTCAATGTGACCTTAGGCACATAACTGCACAACACAGTTAAGAAATATGTCAATAAAAAGAATGAAAGAAAATAGAAGAAATCTGGAATGGGTAGAATCAGGCAAATGCCTTTTTAAAAAATATAAGGCAATATAGGGAACTGATTCAAATTTATAAGAGCCATTCCCTAACTAATAATGATCAAAGAATATGAATATCAGTTTTCGGAGAAAGAAATCCAAGCTATGAAAAGCTATATGGAAAAAATGCTTTAAATATCCAATAATTACAGAAATGAACGTTAAAACAACTATGAGGTTCCACCTCATACCCATCAACTGTCAAAACTGGCAAGAAAAGAAAATGACAAATGCTGGACGGGCTGTGGGAAAATAGATTGATACACTACTGGTTGAGGTGTTAACTAGCCCAGTCATTCTAGAAAACAATTTGGAACTATGTCCAAAAAATTATTAAACTATGCACTCAGCGATATTATTACTAGGTCTATATCCCAAGGAGATCATAGAAAGAACAAATGGATCCATATGTACAAAAATATTTACAGCAGCTCTTTTCGTGATGGCAAAAAACTGGAAACTAAGATGGTGCCAGATGGCTGGACAAGTGATGGTAAATGAATATGATATGCCATGAGTAGAATAAATACTACTGTTTTGAAAAGAAATTATGAAAGAAATAGTTTCAGAGAAATCTGGGAAGATTTATATGAACTAATGATGAGAGAAGTAAGCTGAACCAGGAGAACAATTTATACAATAACAACAATATTGAAAAAACAAACAACTTTAAAAGACTTTGACCAACCAGAAGACTCATGATGAAACATGCTACCCGCCTCCAGACAAAAAGGTGATAAACTCAGAACACAAAATGAAACATATTTTTTGAACATGGCCCACGTGGGAATTTGTTTTGTTTGACTATTATTTGTTGTAAGGGCTTTTTCTTTCTTTTGCAGTGAGGGAAGGGGAAGTAGGAAGGAGAAATGGCAGATTTTGGTTCAATGAAAAAAATAAAATTTAATTTCAAGTTATTAAAATGTAAAAATTCAAATAAAAAAAGAACATAGGGCAGATCAAAATACAGGGTATCCCAAAAGTCTTGGGGCAGTTTTAAGCTTTAATAACTTCAGAAAAACAAATGCTACACACTTTAAAAAAAATTCTGAAAGATCAATCATTTAAATTTTTAAATACTGATATGTTTCTTAGAAAAATCCCATATAACCACTGTCATGCAAAATATCACTCTAGTTGATCTGCAAATTTTGTAAAAACTTTCCTCTGTTACTGCTAATCAGACTGAAGGACTGTGTTTGTAATCCTAGTCTTAAAATCATCCAAAAAGTGACATTTTGGTTCATACATACATGACAGTTCTGATGTGACCCCACAAGAAAAAGTCTAATGAATACAGATCAGGTGACCAAAGTAGCCAAGCAAGTAGACTCCCTCTACTGATCTAATGCTCTGGGAAAGTGCCATCCTGAAATAGTCATAGATGCAAGTGCATAATGACAGTGTGTACCATCTTGTTAAAATTAACATTCAAAATTCACAAAACTAAGTCTAAAAAAATTTAATTAGACTTTAAAATTATTTTTTGTGAGTTTGCAGCATGCTAGAAGCAGGAATTTCCATGGGAACAGTATCCCTAAGGAAGCAGAATGTGACAGAACCCAGAGTACCTGTGGAAGGGCTAGAGCTTCAAACAGGATAAGTGACACTACTTCCTCTCAACCCAGAGTGACTTATGAGAGATGGCAGGAAAATAATGTGCTGAGGTAAAGATAAGGACCCAGGCAGGAGCTAATGCTGGACAGCCTAAGGCCTCCCCACTGCCTAAGGGGCTTCAAGGAAAGGTGCCAGACCAACACTTCCTAACTGAAAAAAAGTTGGATCTTCTTTGCAATGATTCATTGGCCTGGTTCTCCCCCACTCACCTGCACCAGGACCTCTGGAGACATTCCTGCTCCTCATCCACGGCGCTTCTCCTCTCTCCAGCTGGGCTATCAGCTCTGGCTTAGAAGTAAGAAGCCCTGCTCATGGACAAAGAAATGGGAAAGGCATAAAGATCCACCTCAGATTGCAGTCTTTGCCCCTTCCTCATCAAAGAATCAAGAACATGCAAGGAATAGGGGCTGAGGAGAGTATAAAGAGTCCTGGAGGGACTCAGCATTAGGGCACAAAAAGGGGGAGGGCAGGGACAGGGAGGTAACAGGTCACTGAATTCATTTGAAAGCAAACTGAATATGAAAGCAAACTGAAAGCAAACTAAATTGTTTGTCCTTCCTGTTAGGCCCTTTTTTTTTTTTAAATTTGGTTAGGCAACTGACTTGCCAAGGGTCACACAGCCAGTATGTGTTATGTGTCTGAGACTGGATTTGAACTCAGGTCCTCCTCAATCCAGGGCCAGTGCTCTACCCACTAAGCCACCTAGCTGCCCCCTATTAGACTCTCCTTGTGAACACTTTGTACATCACAACTGGGGAGAACAGAAGATAGGAGAGACAGAGTCTCAGAGGCAGCACAATGAATCTGCCAGTCTGTAATGCTTATGGTAACTCCAAGTCCCTTCACCCAGTAACAGGAGTAGAAGTATACCAATTGTCTTGGTGACCAAGAAATGAGGAAGATCCCTGTACATCAAGTCAGGCATCAGCTAATTGTTTCAGTGGCTCTATAGCCTTTAATAAAGGAAGAAGTGAGCATTTAGGGTTTGGGTTAGTGGGCAGAGTCACACAGGAAGACTGTCCTTACCCACAGAGACCATGTTCTTGTAGTTCTCCAGCATCACATCTCTGTACAGCTCCATCTGGGCTGGCTGCAAATGCCACCATTCCTTCCGACTGAACATTACAGCCACATCCTTAAATGTCACAGAGTCCTAAAACACCAAAAACATTCCCACTTACTCAAGAACTAGCCTCTCCATAAGGACCTGGGACCCTCCAGAAGGTAATGCTACTAATAACTGGTTCTCATAGTATAAAAAAAAAGAGTTTTGTGCATTTCAAGTCAAATAATGATTGACTCTCTACTATATATCTTGCTTTGTAGAAGGCATGGCCTCCAAGGGAATATCCAGAATCCTATGGGACTGACATGTGGTGAGCCTGCAGGGTTGAAGACATGAAGTCACCCTTACTCTGGAGGTAGGAGAGAAAGACTAGGGGGACCCTATGCTCCACTCTTCCCACCCCAAAAGAACCATCTGTTACAGCCAGGATAGATACATGAGTTTCCCCATCTCAGCCTCTGTTCATGATTTTTCCCCCACCTAGAATCCTGTCACCTTCATTTCCAACTAACTGGCTCCTACCCTTCCTTCAAATCAAACTTAAAGTCTACCTGATATCTTGCCACTGGACCCAGATGGCTCTGGAGGAGTGAGTGAGGCTAGTGACTTTGCACAGCCCTCCTCACTTAAATCCAATTCACTTGCAAGTCATGGCATCACCTTCCTGATGCCATAGTCCTCTTGGAGAATGAGGGACAAACAATAACAATAAAGTCTATCTCCTCCATTTGGTTTCCCTGACTATTCCAGCTCACACTCATCTGCCAATTCTCAACCCATAGAGCATCTATGGCCTGTACCAGCTCATTTCTGTATTTAAAAACAATACAAGGAAGTCCTTAACTGTGAAAAATATGTTCACCTGGTTTCTCCAATGAGAATTCAAGCCCCATGATGGAAGGACTATTTTTCTGTTTTATTTTCTGTATCCCTCACAGCACCTAGCATAGTTCAATGTACATAATTCAACAAATAAGCCTGAATTACCTGTTGAATTCATTTGAACAAACACTTATTAAATGCCTAGTACGTGAAAGGCACTGTACTAAGCAAAGACAAAAGTAAAACAGTCTCCACCCTCTTGGGGCTTACATTCTACTAAACGAAGGAGTGAACATTAAACACAGAGGAAAAAGGGCACTAAGAGAGGACACTAGGCAAGCCAGGATCACTCTACATAATAAACACTATTTACTATAGTGGTGTCAAACAAATGGCCCCAAATCTCCTGAGTGTACCCAAATCAGACTTAAATGTAATTGGGAAATATTCAATAAATAAAAATACAATAGAACATAGATAATGTTAACTTGTGATTTTCTAAGTCAATATGTGGCCCACAGGAATCCTGTGACCCCAATTCTATTTGAGTTTGACATGACTGATCTACTAGTATGGCCCAATGCCTTAATTCTAGGACAAGGAAAGGAAATAAATCTTCACCTGAAGAATGCAGGTTCTGCATGGCATGTCACGAAAGAACTACGGCTCCCACTCACCTGGGATTCATCTGGCAAGGGCCTAGAAGCTGCTCCCTCTTCTGCAGAGCTCTGATCCTGGGAAACAGCAGAGTCCTGAGAAGGTAGAACTGTGGAAAGAACGTGAAGCTATAAGGAACCCAAATCTGGCCTCACAGATCCAAGGCTGATGAGGCTAAAATTTCCTCTAAACACATCTTTTACAGAATAAGGACAGAAGTCATTTAGGAACAGTCCCCACTTTACCCTTAGAACTGAGGAAAGGAGTAAAAGAAAGGAGAAAGATAGGCTCCCAATTCTGACTCAGGGGTCATGGCAGGGTCCAAGGGACAGAGTTCTGCTCTAGGAATCACGATGTGCACATTAAACTCACAGCTCTGTCTCTAAATCACTCAGTAATACGAAAGTTTAACTCAACCTCTAACACAATTACCTCTTTCATAGAGAAACTATTTTTCAAATATTTCCTATCTTACATAACATGATGAATCAATGCACCGACCCAGCTAGGGAAAAGAACTTCACAGATAGTAAAATGAACATTTTCCATCAGAAAAGCAGTATGGTTCACTAAAAGAGTAAATGATGGGAGTAATGGGGCTCTTGACTTTTGCTTAGCCAATCTGAAGAAATCATGTGACTACTTATATGTTCTTTGACCCCTTCACTGGAAAATGAAGGTGACCATACATGATCTACCCATGAAGTACCTCAGAGAGTTAGTATTACTAAGACCAATTCTAAGAGTTTATAGGCATAATGGCATAAATCTTCCAAATAAGCCTAACCATTGGGCTGTCCCTCTACCTTGTCACACAAAAGATGATCAAGAGAGAACCTTTCTACCTCTATGGTTTCCTTCCCTTCATGGGCTGTTATGCCAAGTGCAGCAGCAACGAGGGGAAGATTGGGCTCTACCAAGTGATATGTGAGGGCTATACTTTCTCAATCACTGATCTCAAGGGCAACATCCTCATCAAATGATCCTTTGCCCTATTCTGGCTTCAAGGCCTAATTTCCTCTTTTGCCCTGGGAAGAATTTCTTCTCCCTCCATCCTTCTGAAATTCTTACCATTGTCCTCAAACATCTGGCTCAAATCTTCCAAAAGGATCTCTACCTCCTCACTGTTCTCCGAAGGCTGTGACTTCACCCAAGTCATGATTTCTCTGGGCAGGACAATCACATATTGATCCAGCACCAGCATATCCAGAACATCCTCTTTGGCATGAGTCTCAGGATCCATCCACTGCATACAGAGCTCCCGGATTTGGCTCAGCTCCTCCTCTTGGGGTGGAGCTACTCCAGGACGCTGAAACCATCTCAAGTTCTGATGAGAGACTGCAGGGTCTGATGTGTCTCTTCCTTGGCTGGTTTCTTGCTCCCCAGGGTCCTCTGCACTTGGGACTTTATCTTGTTCACCAGAAGGTGTAATTTGAGGACTTGGGGGAGCGGTGTTTGCCTCATTCAAGGATGCAGTCTCTCCAGCATCTTTCCCTTCCACTGTGGTATTCATATCTGTATCTCCTTCAGACACAAGATGAGCAGCACACATTATACTAAGGCCCACTGTAGAGAGAAACACACAGCCAACAGCAGTCAAGTCAATAAGCATGAATTAAGCATCTACTATATGCCAGGCATTGCGTTAAGCGCTGGGGATACAAAAAAAAAAGTCCTTGTCACAGTCTAATGGAGAAGATGAGATGCAAACAACAAACAAGCTACATACAGGATAAATTGCAAATAGCAATTAAGCATTAAGAAAGAGATCAGAAAAAGGCTTCCTGTAGAAAGTAGGATTTTAGCTAAGATTTGAAGGAAGTCAGAGAAGGTAGAAGCAGAGATGAGGAGAGAGAAAGTTCCAGGCATGGGGGACAGCCAGTAAAAATGAAGAAATTAAAGCCATCTATAGTCATATGAAAAAATGCTCTAAATCACTATTGATTAGAGAAATGCAAATCAAAACAACTCTGAGGTACCACATCATACCTATCAGATTGGCCGACATGACAAAACAGGAAAATGATAAATGTTGGAGAAGATAAGGGAAAATTGGAACACTAATGCACTATTGGTGGAGTTGTGAAATGATCCAACCATTTTGGAGAGCAATTTGGAACTACACCCGAAGGGCTATAAAAATGTGCATGCCCTTTGACCCAGCAATAGCACTTCTAGGGCTATATCCCAAAGAGATCATACAAATGGGAAAAGGACCCACATGTACAAAAATATTCATAGCAGCTCTTTTTGTGATGGCAAAGAATTGGAAATTGAGAGGATGCCCATTAACTGGGGAATGGCTGAGCAAGTTGTGGTATATGAATGTAGTGGAATACTATTGTGCTATAAGAAATGATGAACAGGCTGACTTCAGAAAAACCTGGAAAGACTTGTATGGTCTGATGCTGAATGAAGTGAGCAGAACCAAAAGAACGTTGTACACAATAACAGCCACGTTGTGCGATGACTAATATTGATAAACTTAACCCTTCCCAGCAATACAAGTATCTAAGACATCGCCAGAGGCCTCATGATGGAAAATACTATCCATATCCAGAGAAAGAACTATGTAAGTTGAACTGTTATTTATTTTCTCTTCTGCTGAGTTTTATTTCCTCTTTCTGATGGTTTCTCCTATTGGTTTTAATTTTTACTTACAACATCACTAATGTGAAAATATGTTTAACAGGAATGTAAATGTATAGCCTATATCAGATTGTGTGCCATCGTGAGGAGGGTGGTGGGGAGAAAAATTTTTAACTCAAAAGCATATGGAAGTGATTATTGAGAAATCAAAATAAATTAATAAAAAAAAGAGACTCAACTAAGCCATACCATGCCAAGAGCATTCAGATGGTAAGGATGATACTGGACAGACAACAGTTGAGAGATGAAAAAGATCGGTCATGGTTCCCATAACAAATTGATCTCTCTGTCAACAGAGGACAACCATTGGAGCCCAACCTCACAGTCCAAAATGCGCTACATGAAAAAAAAAAGAGAAGGTAGAAGCAGAGATGAGGAGAGAAAGAGAGAGAGTTCCAGGCATGGGGGGCAGTCAGTAAACATGCATGGAGCTGGGAGACGGAGAATCTAGTACAAAGAACACCAAGGAGACCAGTGTCACCGGATCAAGCCAGAGGGACATAGTTAAACAAACTATGATGTATGTACATGAAAGATACTATATGAAGGAAACATAGTAGAATGGAAAGAGTACTGGATTTGAAGTTAGAAGACTCAGGTGCATGTTGTAGCTCTGCTCCCCTCTCCATTGGCTATGTGACCAGGTGTCTGTAAATGTTACAAGCTTTAAAAAACCCAACATTTGAAAGGTTAATCATCTTGGATATGTCACATAACATCTCTGGGACAGTTTCTTCACTAATAAGAAAGTTAGATTAGATGATCTCTGCAATCTCTTCCATTTCTAAACCCTCTGATCCTGTGACCTCATTATGTTGCGGAGGTGACTACGGGCCCTGAGCCAGCTGCCAGTAGAGTTCAAGAAATATAAAGTCCTGAAGTTTGGCTGAACACCAAGTGCATGAAAAGGCATAACAAAGTAAGTCAAGATCTGGAGATTTTCTATCAGTGGAGAGAGTATCCACATCAGTGAAATGATATACCTAAAGCACTTTGCAAACCTATATAAAATATTTTATATAGAAATGTTAGCTATGATGACACTAATGATAGTGATGATGATGATAATGATACTATAGAAATGTTAGCTATGATGATGATGATGACAACGACAAGGACAGGCAAGTCCCTTTCTGGAACAATATCTGAGGATGTTCCACTTTAGTAGCAGTCTTCAGACCTTCTTCAGAGCTTACAATTACTTACAACTTGACATAACCTCAGAGATACCAGGGTCATCTCCCAACACAATGAGGGACCACCGGGAAACTTTAGTTGAGGAAATTCGTGATTTTTTTAAAAAGAAAAAGAAACCCCTTGTTTCAGGTTTCATTCCAGGTCTCTTAAGTCCTACAGGGAAAACTGTCCCCATACCAGAGCATCTTGTCATAGTGGCAAATAAATCAATGGGAAAAGAGAAACCAATCAGATCCTCCAGTCTAAGCTCCCAAGACTATTTACCCCACAGCTACTATCCCAAAGCAGAGATCTCCTCCACCCCACCCTCCTTTTCCCTTCTAATGCCCTATCTCCTTGATTGGGCAGCTATTGGATGTATTTTAAAGAGCCCAGGACTTGGAGTCAGAGGGTACCACTTATTTGTGAGGACTTGAACCTTAGTGTCCTCACCAGTAAAATGAGGGGGTTGGACTCAAAATTCTGTCCCTTTCTACCACCCATACAATAAAACAGTTCTTTATGTGCTTAGGCTGGCTCTGACCCAATGGCTTCTCACTCTCAATTCCTTCCTCCTGCTGATGAGGCCTTTCTCCCATGCTCTTCATAGGTTCAAAGATTCATTGATTTAGGGCCAGGAAGAACCTTAAGACGTCATCTAGGCCCAGAGTTTTTCATGCTCCCATGACCCGGTCCTGTTCTTACAGTGCTCCCTTCACAGACAGCCAGGGCCTCCTATTCACATCCACTCACCCACCCACCCCTCCAGTAGCCCTGCCCCATCCCTGCGGGTGAAGCCCTGAGACCCTACTTCCCTCGGTTAGTACTGCAATGCGGTTGCCCTCCAGTGACACCGCCCAGATCCTCCCTCCCGAGGCCCCAGCTCCAGATGCTTCCTCAGAGGTCTTGAGGTGTCAGAGACACCTGGACCAAATGCTCCTCATACCAAACACACTGCCTCTGATGGCCCCCACCCACGCGACCCTCCCTCGTCCCCCAACAGCCCCTGCCCTGACCCCACAACTCTCTTCCTTCTCCTCCCAGAAAAGGTTCCCTTCCCTCTCACGCCTCCCTCCCCAATATCCGCCCCCCCGACAAAAGCCTCTCCCCCAGCGGGCCCCCCCACCCCTTAATGCCTCTCCCCCAGAGGCCCCGCCCCCTCACGCCTCTCCCCCAGAGGCCCCGCCCCTTGATGCTCCACAGGCCCCGTCACTCCAGCTGCCTCACAGACCAAGAAGCTTCACTGGCCGTCAGCCCCACTCCCCAAATGTTGGGCCCCGATACCTCCTCTAGGTGCCCAAGTACCTGGTAAAAGAGCCCTGCCCCGCTTCGCCACACGCGGAGCTACCTCTGACGACCCGAGACCAAGTCCGTAAATCTGTGCTATTCTAATGGCGACTAAAACCCGCGCGCATCCTTGGCCTGAAGAATACACCTGCGCCTGCGCGGAGTGGCTGCTTTTAAAACAGAAACTACGAATCCCAGAATCCCCCGACACACAGCCTTCACTTCCCAGAGGAGGTGGCGGACCTGATTGGCTGCCAGGAATCATTTCCCTAGCCACGCCCCAGATTTAAGCGCGAAGCCTGCAGTCGCCTACGCGATTAAGTGTACAAAACTGGACTCCATCACATTCCTCCCTGCACATACAATCCATCATTTCCTGTGGCGCCTAAGACTGGAAATCGCGATTTCATTGTTTTATATCAGAGCTCAGGGTTTCAGTCACTGCGAGGTTTGGTTGGCCCCGCCTATTCTAAGAAAACAGCGGAGCCCGGATGAGGAGACCAATCAACACCTCGGAGATGGGGGCGAGGTCCTCAGAAGCGGCCCGGTGAACCAATCACTGCCCTTTGAAGCCATAGATGGCCTGGGGGAGGAGCAACGGGGCCAATCAGAGACTCCCGGGAGGTGAGAGAAGCAGCGGGGGAGGAACCAATCAGTCACTCCCTGGCGGGAGGCGCGAGATGAGTCTGGGCCAAACGCTAGAATTATCAATTAATGATTCCATGTGTCTAGTGCGAAATGTATTATCTTTCCCACCCCGCCAAATCCATCCCTTATGTACCCATGGGCATCCTCCCTCAGTCACTGATGCTCGCTGTCATCGACTCCTCACTCTCACTCGCTCCCCCTCCCGCCCCCGCCCCCGCCCCTGCCAATCACTTGCCACATCCAGACCTTTCTATTTCCTCAGCATCTTTCCCATAAGCCTCCTCTTCCCTCAGCTCACACTGGGACCACCCAGGTGCAGGCTTCACTGGAGAATATCTTTGTAGATGGTCCCCCTGCCTCATGGCTCTTCCCCTCCAGACTGCTGCCAAAGTGAGGGAGGAAGGAAAGAAGGAGAGAAGGGAGGGAGGAAGGGAGAATGCTGGCTTTTCAAAAACTAATGAACAGGACTCACTAAAGGGGCAGGGAGGAAGGAGAAATCTATTTGACTCACTGAGAGGAAAAAAGAGTAGGTAAAAGTGTATAATCAATTACAAGCAAGAGAGAGGACCAAATAAACAAAACCTTAAAGGGAAAGGGGTAACAAAGGAGAAGAGAGGATCAGGGGTGAGGAAAAGAGAGCCAGTGAAGACAGGACCACCTTTGAAAAAAAAGATTAAGGAAACTGAAGAAACAGCAGAAGGGGGTAGGGAATCATAATTTTTTAAAAATTAGATTATGGAGGAAAATATAAACCCAATTAAATGTGAATGGATTTTAAAAATCTAACAAAATGAAAAAGAATGACGGGTTGGGTAAGAAAGCAAAACTCTACCATCTGTGGACTAAAAAGCTTTGCACAGGCAACACTAATACACCTAGGATAAGAAGGGAAATGGGGGGATGGGGGGGAATCTGTACCAAATTTCTCTATATTTTTGTGTTGGGCTAATCTGTCCTGGAGATGAACCTTCTTTTAAATATGTTATTTACCCAAATTAGAAAGTGAGTTTTTAGAGACCAGGAACTGTCTTGAGTTATCTCCAGTACTTGCCACAGTAGACACTTAATAAATTCTTTTTCACTCATTAGCTTGTGGTTTTAGTATGATTACATTATTTTCCTAACATCGAGTCAATTAATCCAAAATAGAAATAGAAGATTATTTTTGTAGTTATAGACCCATGGCCTTTTTAGGGCCAGGACCTATGATCTCATTGGTATAGGGTATTCCTAGGTAAGACAATTCCCTCTTTCAATGCAATTTAGAGGCTTAGAGAGTTGCCTAGAGGTTACATGACTTGCCCACAGTTATACAGTCAGTATATGTCAAAGTTGGGAATTAAACTCCAGTCCTTGGAGCTTTGAAGCCAGCTATCTATCCATTAACTACACCAAAGGTAGGGTGTATGGGATGTTCAAGGAGGACTAGCACCTTTAGTGTGAGGGCTGCTTATCTACCTTTGGTGTCTACCTGGCACTTAGGGTGTCTAACCCAAACTTGGGAAGACTTCCTCCCTCCCCCACTATGAAGGCAGCTGAAGCACTTAGAGCTTGGTGAGACATCAAAGATGCCAAAGTCATCCACTGCATCGGGCATTGCCAGTCTTGACTTTTATCTTGCCTTTATCACTTTGTACACAACTCTGCCTCACTTAAATCCAACTCACAGATTCAAGACATCATCCCATAATGCCACTGGTCCTCTTCAAAAAAAAAGAAAAAAAAACACCACCATAGGTGTCAAAACTCACAGGTGGCCTATAACCAGATTAAATTAAATTAGCCACAACCAGATTAAAATGTAATTGAAAATATTTAACAAAATAAATAAAGACATAGATAGTGTAGATTCGTGGTTTTCTAAGTCAATATGCAGCCAACAGGGATCCAATTCTATTTGAGTTTGACACCCTTGCACTATACCATGTTGACTGTTAAGATTTTATTTAAATTTTTTGCATCAAAACTCAGTGATATTGGTCAATTTTTTTTTTATTTCTTTGATGGTTTAAGTATTAGTCCCATATTTGCCTTATAAAAGAACTTGGTCTATCTATAGTCATATGAAAAAATGTTCTCACTATTGATTAGAGAAATGCAAGTTAAAACAACTCTGAGGTACCACCTCACCTATCAGATTGGCTAAAATGACACAAAAGAAAAATTATAAATGTTGGAAAAGATGTGGGAAAATAGGAACACTAATGCTTTGTTGATGGAGTTGTGAACTGATCCAACCATTCTGGAGAGGAATTTGGAACTATGCCCAAAAGGCAACCAAACTGCGTACACCCTTTGATCCAGCATTAGCACTACTAGGTCTGTATCCCAAAGAGATCATAAAAAAATGAAAAGGACCCACATGTACAAAAATATTTATAGCAGATCTTTTTGTGGTGGCAAAGAATTGGACATTGAGGGGAAGTCCATCAATTGGGGAATGGCTGAGCAAGTTGTGATATATGAATGTAATGGAGTACTATTGTTCCATAAGAAATGATGAGTAAGTGGACTTCAGAAAAACCTGCAAAGACTTACATGAACTGATGTTGAATGAAGTGAACAAAACCAGGAGAACACTGTACATAGTAATAGCAACATTATAAGAAGATCAACTTTGATAGACTTGGCTATTCTCAGCAATACAATGATCTAAGACAATTCCAAAAGACTCATGATGGAAAATGCTATCCACATCCAGAGAAAGAACTATAGAGTCTGAATGCAGATCAAAGCATTCTATTTTCATTTTTTTGTTTTTTCTTTCTCTTAGTTTTTCCCTTTTGTTCTGATTCTTCTTTCACAACATGACTAATGTGGAAATATGTTTAATATGATTGTACATATATAACCTATATCAGATTGCTTGCCATCTTGAGAAGGGGGGGTAGGGAAGGAGGGAGGAAGAAAAAAATTTGGAACTCAAAAATCTTATAAAAGTGAATGCTGAAAACTATCTTTGCATGTCATTAGAAAAAATAAAATACCAATATGTGGGGGGGGGAAGAAATGACAAGCAAGATGATTTCAGAAAAGCCTGGAAAGACTTACATGAACTGATTTGAGTGAAGTGAGCAGAACCAGGAGAACTTTGTAACAGTAACAGCAACATTGTTTGATGATCAGCTATGATTGACTTAACTCTTTTAGCAATACAATGATCCAAGACAACTCCAAAAGACTCATGATGGACAATGTTGTCCACATTCACAGAAAGAACTGATAGAGTCTGAATGCAGATCAAAGTATGCTATTTTTACTTCCCTTATTTTTTTTGGTAGTTTTTTTTCCCTTTTATTCTTTCTTCTTTTACAACATGACTAATATGGAAATATGTTTTGCATGATTGCACATATATAACCTATATCAAATTGCTTACTATCTTAGGAAGGAGGGAAAGAAGGAAGGGAAGGAGAAAAATTTGGAACTCAAAATCTTATTTTAAAAAATGAATGTTACAAATTGTTTTTAAATGTAATTGGAAAAAATAAAATATCATTTAATATATATAAAAAAGGTGCTTGGTATTTTCTTTCTCATTTTTTGAGAATAATTTGTATAACATGGAAATTAATTGTTCATTAAATGTTTGACAGAATCCACCTGTAAACCTATCTTGACCAGATTTTCTTTTTCTTTTCTTTTTTTTTTTTTTTGTCTTGGTAGTTCCTTTGTGACTAGTTCAATTTCATTTTCTGGGCTGTTTAAGATCTACTTTTATTTTCTGTTTTATCTATTTCTTCTTTGATTTTCAGGATTTCCCCTTTTGTGCTTATTTTGGCTTTGCTGACTTGTTATTTTTCTAGTGTTTTTTAATTGAATACTCAGTTCATTAAGTCTCTTTTTCTATTTTTTTAAAATTTCATAAATAAAAAATTTCCCGAGTATTGCTTTAGCTAAATCCCAGGAATTTTATTTTGTCTCATTTTTATTTATCTCTTTCACAGAGTTATTGTTTCTTTGATTTGTTCTTTAACCTCTTCATTATTCAGAATATCATTATTAAGCCCCCACTTAGGCTTAGTTACTTGTGTTTTGTGTTCCCTATGTTACTAATTTTATTGTGTAATTATATACATTGTGCAATTGTATAAAGTAAATATGTGTTTAGTAAGTTTTCATTTAGATTTTTTTGAAGAATCAGAGAATACTGTTGTTCAGTCATTTTACATCCATATCTGATTCCTCGTGACCCCACTTGGGGTTTTCTTGGCGAAGATACTGTCGTGGTTTGCCATTTCCTTCTCTAGCTTGTTTTACAGATAAGGAACTGAGGCAAACAGAGTTAAGTGACTTGCCCAAGTTCACCCAGCTAGTAAGTGTCTGAGGCCGGATCTGAACTCACCAAGATGAGTCTTCCTGACTCCAGTGCCAGCACTCTATCCATTGCACCATACTATACAGTGCCTAATAGCTTAAAGAACATAAGCATAAATGCAATGAATAAAATAGATGTGACAGGTAATTGC